TTTTTGAAGCATTTCCAACATTTGCTCATTTTCCCAGTGCAAAAGAAAGTTGTTCAAGTCAACTTACCTTTATCCTAAGGAGTTTAAGAGGAAGAAAACAAACAAAAATACCACCTATCGCAACTCCCAATACTTAACTTCTCAGTCAAATTTTGCAGAAAATCCTTAGGTCACTGGATTCGTTTATCAAAATTAAAGCCTTGTGATTATGATTCAGCCCTTGCTTCATATGTATGACTTTTATGCAGAAATGTTTCTATTTACAAAGGTAGAAAAAAGTTATTAGCAGTGCAAGACACTGGTTTAAAGTTTGTTTTAAACTGTAGGAGTCCAATTGTGTAATGGAAAGAAAACAAGCACCATTTGAAGAAGAAATGAATTGGATACTTTGAAATTTATTTATAGGCTAGGCAATAAGTTACTCAGATTAACACAGATCAATACCACCTTGACTTGGTGACCCAGATAATTCTAATTAGATTTTAGGTGCATTTTTCTTTATCTTGGTATTCAATACATCATCTAAGTCAGTAACCATGTTAAACAAAATTAAAATGACAAGTTACAGCTTACTTCACAGTCTATTTGAAATTCAGCTTGTCCACTAGGTCGGTTTTACAGGAGTGGTCTTTTAACACGTGAAGAGTTTTGATAATCTGGCAGGTCTCTTCTCTCCCAATTAAACAAACAAGAGTTTTGTTGCTAGCTTGACAATTTTATAGGTGAAAAACATGAAGTGAGTAAATAAACTAAACCACAAAGATGGACAAAAAGCAATATGATATAAAACATATCACTTTTTTTCCTATTTGTATTCAGTGAAAGTTTTTACATTTCAAGTAAATGAGCCTTCATTAAAAAAAAAAAAAAAAACAAGTATATATGAAAAATTAAAGTACCTTCCAGTTCTAGCTTGCTGAAGTTTCTTCTGCAAAAGTACAAAAATAAACCCACTAAGAACTAAACAGGACAGGGCCACGGCAAAGGCAGAATGGCTGCCATGTTAAGACTTTTGCTTGCCTTATACTGATGGGTATATTTTAGGTGATAAATTTTCTCCACTATCTAGCACTTAAAATGAACATTTTCTTACAAACTTTATTTGTAAGAAACTAATTTTTATTAATTAGCAAACACACCGAGAGGTATCTGTTGATCTAAAATTCTCTAAATCCAGATAAATCTTTAAAAAAATTTATTTCACACATGAGGCTTTAATATTTTTAGTTAGGAAAAGATCGAATCTGAGGCTATAATGGTTCAACCTAAAGTGTCCCTTTTCCATACTGGAGTAAATCTGTGCAAAATATTTTTCCTTGTCTCTAAAAAACAAATTAAGTAGTATTTTTACTATAAGGAAATTTAAAAATGCACTTTAGCCAATTTGCACCAATCATAAAAGAAGTAAGATATTCTTTCCCTTATCCTCACTCAACCATTCCAATCAGGGGAGAATACTGCAAACTTTAAGAACCTCACTGGCTATCATCAGAATAACTACAGAACAGCGTAGTGCAGGGTGAAACTATTTCTCTATATTCCAGAAAGCAGAAGCTTGGGTGCTCTAGCTTTACAAGTAAAATAGCACAGGCAGGCAAAAGCTCACAGTAAATGTATACCAGAACAGGGGCCAGGGGCCTAAGTGAAGGTGAATTTGTCTGACTGGGTTACGGCATTTATAAGAAAAAAAAAGACAAATCTGTAATGAAGAAAAAAAAAATCCTAAAATTTTGTCACATTTATAGGAATCTCAAACCTTTTGTATTCCCATGCTCACAGGTAGTTTTGATACACATTGTAAATAGTTTCAGTATTCAGGAAGAAGAGTACTACTATATTGTTGCCAAAGAACAAGAGAATTCTTCATGCTTCTGATATCTCAGATTTGCTGAGTGCAATAGCCAGTTCTAAGTCTTCTTGTTCTTGCTGATTTAGTCGGGCAAGCCTCTGCTCTTCTTCTCTCTCACTTTCCCTTTTGGCCCATTCGATCATATCTTCCTCAGAGGGATACTGCCATTTAAAAGATCGATGAACAAATGAATAAATAAATGAGTAAAGCAAATAAAAAGAAGGAAATAGTTTTTACAAAAGGACATTAACTTGTTTCACCTGAAGGACTCTGGAAATACTCTGGTTACTTGTTAATTCTTTTTTTTTTTTTTTCCTGAAAACATGTTTAATATTATTAAACCGTAGTTTAATTTAAAAAATTAATTCAATCTATAGACAGAATATAAAACTAAATGTTAAAAATATCACTAGGCTAGATGTGATGGCTCATGCCTATAATCCCAGCACTTTGGAGGCCGAGGCAGGTGGATCACCTGAGGTCAGGAGTTCGAGACCAGCTTGGCCAACATGGCAAAACGCCCTCTCAA